AGTTATATTTACAACACTGTTCCAGAACAGTTTAACCCAAATATTCAGATGTGTGCAGCACATTTTTTGGAGGACTGTTTCCTGATCCTGGTAGAGTAGACTACAATGCCGGCTGTTCCGACTCACAGACTGTAAGTACGTTTTCATATTTAAAGGATTTGCCACTGACGATTCAAACGCGAGTTTTGAGCAGTGTAGAGTAGCGCTTGTTGTTTGTCGTTTCTCCGATCACAAATGCAGACATGGTTTTATGTTTACGTGGCTCGATACGCAACGCAACGCGTAAAAAGACAGTATAAGTCATTATAATCCATAATTATGTCCCCACTGGATGCTACAAATGCCTCGTTTGTAATTGGTTTTATTGGTTTTGTCTCGTCGCGCCGGGACACGGCATCACAGGATGTAACATTTCCGTCACACGCTTGAGGTATTCGGCCAAGCTGACCAATCAGAGCACACCTCGCTTTTCAGAATGATGAGCTTTGTAAAAATCAACGCGTTTCAGAAAGGCGGGGCATAAATGAGAAAAATTAATGTACAGTATGTGGAAAATAATGTTTTTTTAAACTTAAACCGCATAAGCACATTTCATTACACCAAATACACAAAATAATGTTTGTTTTTAGCAACATCATATGACCCCTTTAACAAATTAACTCAAGTTTCAAGAATTTTGAAGCCTAAATGTCAGAAGTAAAAAACTAAACATACATATAAAGAAACTACACCACGGTCGCATGACTTTAATGTCACCACCATTAAGCTTCTAACAACTCTTTCAGTCTTTATTTAAAAAACATTTTACTTGAAAGATATAAAATAGTTTTCATGAGACTGAGACTAAGGCTGTAAAAGCAGACTAGTGAATAGATGAGTTTACCTGTTTAATGTGATTGTTTAATGTTCCTGGCAAACTCTGTAGTCCCATTTAGCCACTTGTTAGTAACTGCCCTTTTTCAAGACAAGTAAAAGCTTTAAAAAAATCACAAGGGATTTTTATTTTATGTCATAGAATAAAATGGAAAAATATCTTGAGCTTAACCACAGACCTTATTTCAGGCACTTAACCAAAAACCCATTAAAAAAAAAAAAAAACCATAGGCTTCATGACGATGGAACCGAAAGTGCTAAAATGCTAACTCGTTTCCGGATTTTGGCTAACAAAAGTATGTCATTCCTGCAGCATCCTATTTGCTCAGCCTCATGTTGTTCCAAGCTTGTATGAATGTCGAAAAAAAAGAGATTGGAGTCCATTAACGCTCATTAAATGGACAAAAACACTAAGACATGTTTCAAAACACCTCAATTTTGTTGCACAGAAGAAATCCAAACAAGTTTGGAAGTACATGAGGGAGAGTAAATGATGACAGGTTTCATTTTTGGGTAAGCTATCTCTTTTACATGTCCTCTTCTCTGTAATCAGATGAGGGTCGTTTTTTATGATCTGCTTCATGTGTTTGGGGTTCCAAGTCTAAGCAGATATTTCTTAGATTCCCCACTTTTAACATTGTTTGAAAGCAAAGTTATGTTCAGGCCGTTGTTGATGCCTAACCCCCTGTGGGCCTGCAGTACAGAGGAGGAGATGGAAAGTTTTTTTCAGCCTCCACACTGGAGTGATGTCTAGGGGTGGCAGGATTTCCCCTACTTAAGAGCCAAAGCGAGCGCTCTAACCTATGTGTGGGTTAAAAATACACACTCCTGTGTTGCTGGGGGATCTGTCCTCGTTGAGAGAGAAAAAATGCATGGAAGAATACGTCCATGTCTGTGTGTTTACTGTGCTAATGGGATGTTGCCAGGAACTAGGGCTGGGCGTTCCATCAGATATTCACAAAATAATTATGCAACAGTAAGAAGCATCATGAATATCATTATTATTTTAATGTGCTTTTTCATGCAAATTTTGTATTCATTTCTAATTTTTTTTATTGTAAACTTGCAAGTGAATAAATGTTTTATACATTTTATAAATGTATTATTATTAGTAGTAATATTATTATTAGCTAGATCACCCCTTATGCTCTTGTCTTCATGACTTCAGTCCTTCATAATATAATTCATGATTTTTGTTATCGTTCCCATCAGTAACCTTCAAAGGTTACAGTTCATTCTAACTGCTGGTGTAACTTTCATGTGCTGTGGGTGTGCGTGTTTTTTTTAAAGGGGTGGTTCACTGTTTTTTTTCTAGGCTTGATTGTTTTTATGACTAAGTCTAACATGTGTTAATGTTTCGTTTTTAAAAAAACTCATTCTTTTTCACATAATTTACCTTTATTCCACACCGCTCTGTCCCTTCTCTCAGAAACACCATGATCATTTCCTTCTTTTATAAAGCCCCTCCCTCAGAAATAGGTGATGGGCTCTGATTGGTTAGCTAGCCCAGTGTGTTGTGATTGGCTAAACCGTCTCTAGTGCGCTTCTTAACGTCCCGCCCCTCTCCTCAGCGGCATGTGCTCCGGTTGTATTGTAAACAATGGCGTTGTTAATATCGCTTATCAGTTTGAGCCCGATTGAGAAGCAGAGGATATTATTGAAGAGGATCGTGCAGAACCTGTGCAAGCATGGCTTTTAATGGTAGGCCTATGTTTTTTGTTTGTTGTTGTCTCATACTTTTAGATACGGTGTTATTTGTAAATGCTACTGCTTATGTTAGCTTTTAATATACGGTTTTATCCTAATTAACACTTTAATACCGTACGGCAACTGCACTGTATGTCCATGTTTAACGCTTCTCATAGCTATGTGAAAATAAGTGTATAATTGGAACAGTTCATTATTGGAGCTGAGCTGAATGAGAGAGAGAGAGATGCAGAGCGTGTGCAGAACAGGGGGACGCGAGGAACAGTATTAAGAACCGCTGCTTTAGAACATTGATTTTGAAACTTGTGAATCCATTAGAATCGTTAGAAGACAGAATCGCGATTCATATATGAATAGATTTTTATGTCCACTTCTCTAAAGCAGCGCAGCATTGCCTTGCCCCCTTTGCTGCCTTTTCCTGAGGGCGGGGTTGATGTCACAAACCCGGGAAGTAACTTGTTGTAGTCCCTACCAGCCGTTTTTGTAGGCATTAAACTGCCAGAATTTTAAAAGACGATATCTCCGTTTGCATTGAACTTTCAGCTTCATAACTTTGCAGATATTGTTTATGCTCAAACAGCAACATTACATACTAACTAGTGTTCAAAAAGGGAAATCGCAATGAGCCACCCCTTTAAGTGGCCTTTTGTCCCCTCTGCCCTCTCCTTATACTTTTCTGACAGATTTGTAGGGCCTAATGCTATATTTAGGAGAGATGTGTGCGTGCATGCCCTGTCCCTTCTGGTTTCCTCCTGCACTACATAGTAGAGCTAAAAAAATCACTCCCAACAAAGTGGCGGTGGGTGTAGAAGGGGGACTTGTATCGTTACTTCCTGTGGTCAAAAGTGTAGACAATGTGTCCTCCTTTGCTGCAGAGGTTGGTGGGACTTTTTTTTTAGGTAATGGCTGATCACAGATTTTAAAGAGAGAGAGGAAAGGACAACAAGCTTTGAGCAATGTCAACAAATGTTATTAGTCCTGCATTAGCACTACTTTTAAGCAGTCATAATGGCCTACATGTCAAACCTTATTTGCTTTGTAGATTAATTACTGAAACACTGAAAGCAAACATGACCTTTGCTCTTTTTCAGATCAGATTGTGGCATTGATAATGGGGTTTATCTGAATCTCACGCTCGTAGTGGTGAAGAGGGATACTGGTGTTTAATGATTGCTTTCATGCGCTGCCTCCAGGCACAGAGCTTGTTTGATGGCTGTAACAGGGTGCTAATTGCTATTGTCCAGACTGGACTCTCGCAGAGCGTCAAAAGGCAGGAAATTGCTTCACAGATTTCAGAACATAGCATAATAATAGAAGCTCATGGATGTCGGACATAGTGTGAATGTGACTTTATCTCAGCGCTGTTTCGCTCACCTGCGTTTAATGCTTTGCCTTGTAGAAAAAAAAAGACTTTTATGGATGACCTGCATTAACCAAATGAATGATGTGAAGTTCAATGGCACACAGATGTTGTCAAGTTGCATGTATGTTCTCCAAACTTAATTTTCATAAATCTGTATGCCTAGATCTGTTTGTAAATCTGTATGTCAAGGTTTATTCATAATCTACAGAAGTGTCAATTATGCACTGGGTAAATCTCAGCAGAGATTGTCGACTTTAATATTCACAGCTTTGACCTTCTGTACTAAATCCGTTGCTCTGGAAATGTACTGCCCAATCCCAAAATCTGGCATATGACAGGGAGTCCTGCTGACCCACTGTATGTTTCTTTTTAACATCACACAAGGACATACGGTTTTTACAGGGGCTTGCTTATTTAAAAGTATGGGAATGAAAACCTGTTAATGTTTCTGATTCACTTTAAAAACCTTGTCGCATTGAAAACTATTTTGGTTATCAGCATTGAAAGGATCAGACTCGGAAGGAATTTTCTTCTTTAACTTTCTCATTGGTTCATTGGTTGCTCTTGAGTTCATTGGGCTTTTGCACAGATGTGGGTTTACTGATGTGGCACCGACATGCTATTGAACGCAAATGTTAAAAGCATATGATTATCAAACTCTTCATGTAATCAAGATCAAACTGACATCCATTGTAACCATGTCTCCTTTTGTACAATACTTTTGATCTTCACGCCATCAAATTGCTGTTGTACTGGAAATCACGGCTGTGATTCATCATGAACATAGACAAGAGTGTTGTGCTGTGGTGGCAGGACTGTTTCCCATGGACCACGTCCCCTTCCCCCTGGTGCTTAAACCTCCCCACCCACGAATCACGTGCACTCAAACTCAGAATTAAATTTATTTAAACTAAAAAAAGACAATAAGAACAATTAAATAAATGACAAGCAATAGCACAAACAAAAACCATAACAAGTTACAAATTAAATTAACAGTACTTTAAGTTTTTCAGGTAGGTCTAACAGTAATAGGCCTATTTCATAGAGCTGCACCGATTGCAATTTTCTTGGCCGATTCCGATTTCTGATTTTTTGTTAGTGTGATCTGCTGATACCGATTTTTGCCGATTCCGATTTTCTTTCTAAGAACTATAATTGACAGCATATACAAACCAAAATCTACTTTTCTTCAATGCAAAGTTTTATCACAAGCTGTTTGAGACTGAGCGCGGCTTGTGTGCTCCACTAATATGGATCAGTGGTGGTGCGTGCGCGTTTGGTATAAGTGCGAAACCTGTGCGAATGAGACGTTTGTGAGAGAGAAGGGGTCGTCGGAGAGAAGAGAGCGAGAATGCGCTGCTGACGTTATTGCCTGTGCCGCTGGTAACAAAACGGATCGAAATCGGAAAGAAGTGAGACTGATCGGCCAATCACCGATCCGGGCCGATCATGAGGAAAATCGGCCTTTTCCGATCCCTGGCCGATCAATCGGTACATCTCTAATATAAACATACAGTGTGCTTGTGTCAGTCTGCTGAATGTGACCCACAATCTATGATTCTCCTCCGTGGCCATGGAAAAATTTATATTTACAATGACAACAATTATACTTCGTCATTAAAACGTTTCCAACAAAGAAATGGATCGACTTCTGTCAGTTTGTTGAACAAACACTTTATTTGGATAATCTACTATATGATGGCTGAAGCAGCAGTGGGCGACACTGTTTTAAAAGAAGTGAGACTGACCGGCCGATCACCGATCCGGGCCGATCATGAGGATAATCGGCCGATTCCGATCCCTGGTCGATCGATCGGTGCATCTCTACTATTTCAGTACAGAATTACTACAGAAACGGAATAATCTATTCAGCTTTAAAATAACACTGGGTAGTCTTCACTGTGTAACTAAACAGTAATGACACAGACAACAGCAGGTTTATTTAGGCTGCTGTCTAAGACCTTTTGCACGGATCTAATATACTGTTACACATGTGTTTTGCTTCTCAACGGTTTACATTCACTTAATACCCTATATACCAGCTGTGTTTACGTGAATACTCGCCAAGACAGGCATTTTGACATAATTTTGTATGTATTTTGTCGTTTGCACACAATAAGGCACAAAACAGCTCAATTCTGTGGTTGCGCACTGTTTCAGAGGCGACTTTATGTGTGCGCGTTTTTGGTGTTGCCGCACTGAAAACAGTCTATAAGAGAGTGCGCGAGTACTGTGTATAGGGTTCAGTTTCACATCTTTTTGCACTTGAATTGCTTGAATGTTTAAATTGGCAAGACTTAAAAGCACGTACAAATGATACATTCCGTCATTTTTTCATCGCGTTATAAGTGCGGAACGTGGGAATGAGTAGAATTATGCACAATCCCACACCGAAATTCAAGCCCTGCTCCGTCTCCTCCACTAATTCCTGTGAATGATGTGAGTGGCGTCACTGTGATGTCACTGAGAAGCTGCAGCCGTGGCGGGGATGATTTTTGGTGTGGCGGCCTGCCACGGCAGAATGAATGTAGCGGAAACACTGAGAGCAGTGATCAAAATTTCTATGCTGGTATACTAATTATCACTTCTAATATCTTACCAATCAGAACTAACTGTTTTGTTATCCAGAATATGACACTTCCATATTTGTTCTGTTTTTCAGAGAAGTTTTTTCCCTCTATTGCATAACAGATTGCAGGGAAATCCCTTGAAGTTACTCTTCAGTTTCTGTCTAATTCAGTGAAAGCATTTCTGTTTTCTTAGCAAGTTACATTTGCTATAATTTTTAAATGGTTATTTTCATCACTAACATGAATTTATACTTGGAGCTCTACAGAAGCCGTATGACGTACATTCTCTGCACTTGACACTGACGAACCAGATTCTCTGAAGTCAGGGTATTTTTTTTTCTTCTGATTTTACTTTCATGAAACGGTCGGTGTTGCGCTAACCACAGAGTGGGGCCACTAAATGGGCAGCACATGCGCTGATTGGATAGTGAGGCAAAGTGTTTCTATGCACACATATATCTGACACTTATTTCCTCCCAGAAAGCCTAGCAGCAACCCAGAATCCAGGAAGTGGTGGCTCACCAGTGGATGTCTTGCTCTCTCACTGAGAGACATTTGCTCAGCATGTTTCTTCAAGGAGATCTCGGGGACGGTGTTATCCGCTATGTCAGGCATCAAATTTAGAGTATTATGTTCGGATAACTCGGTTAGATCCAGCCTAGCTCATCGAGATGAGACTATGATGCAATTGTTAGCATTTGAAATGGACTGAAACTGATTTTTGGCTTCCTGCTTCTTGATATTGTTAAGCTTTTTTAGCTTTTCTCCCCTCATCAACCATGAGTTTACCACGGAAGGCCACACCGGAGGAGCAAACAGGATCAAACAGGAATCCATCACGCTGTTCGTCTGGCAGGGAGAGCACTCGTCACTGGCGTCTCCTCAGCAGGCCTTGGCTAAAGCACCGTTCGATTTCAGCCCCCGAGGAGCCATTGGACACACATGACAGAAGAAACCTGGCTGGGTGCAACATGCGCACACAGAGCTTGACATGGTCCAGAAGCAGCAGCAGTACACCTCCGTCCAATCCTCCTATCGCCAGGGTCCACAGTCTCCCGGACCCTCAGAGGGTCACCAGCCGCGGTGTCCTCCTGGAGCATGCTAATCTTCAGAGGGACTGGTTATCTCGCAGCTCAACCCCTTTTTTAAGATCTGAACTGGGGAGCGAAATATGTACTGAGACTCCACCGCTTAGGCGGGGACTGAGCTCTCAAACGTTTTCAGGGATTCTGCTGTCCATGTCAAGACGAATTAGCCATATTTTAAATACCTCTCCTGAGCCGGCTGTTGGAGAACTTTCAGAAGACGGTAGGAAGCTTGATTAATGTTTGAAGGCACATCAGGAAGGCAACCGCTCTACCATTTAGACTAGATTATGTTTGAAAACTTGAGTATTTCTTTTTCTGAAATGGTTTTGATATTATTCACCACGTAAGTGCTCTCATTTGATGGTTTAGGCGATCTGAAGTAGATGGTTGACAAAAATGTTAATTCTGTCATTGTTTACTTACCCTTATATTGCTCCTAACTGTATGACTGACTTTTTTATGCGGAACACAAGACATGATATTTTGAAGAATGATGGCAACCAAACAGTTTTGGCTACCATTTTGTATGGGCAATAAAAACACTGAGACATTTCTCAAAACTTTTCTTTTCTTTTATGTTCCACAGAAGAAAGTAAGTCATAGAGGTTTGGAATGACATGAGAAGTAGTGCTAAATTTACACTGCAAAGGTGGCACAGAAGTTTTTCTGAAAAGTGCTTCTTTACACAGATAGTTTAATGCTGTCTTAAATGCAGTTACAACTGTATACTTTGATTCCTAGGTGCTGAGGTAGGTCTGAGCAGGCATTATTTAGTCTGGCTTTGATGCAGCATTGCATTCTTTTCACTGAATTTTGAGCAGGCACAGAGCAGCCTTAACTCAGCTGTGTAAAGGAGCCTGAGTAAATGATAATAGAATTTTCGTTTTTGGTTATCCCTTTATGTGCAGCCTCCACACTGATTTGTTTAAAATTTGGTTCAGTCATTGGGTAGGTTAAGCACTGACTTTGCCAGATATGTAGCTGCCATCCCATGTACTATAATAATACAACACAATGAGGCGTTCATGGGTTTAAGCCAGTCATAATGAGTCACGTATACATCAGTGAATGTGATATTACACTTACTTTTTGAGTAACATGACTATTTATCTTTCATCTTGTTGATTTTGATTACTAATGGTGATATGAAAGTTATTTAGCTTTCTTGTGTTTTCCCAGTGGAGATGTTTCTTGTAAGAAAGTGGTTTGAGTCTAATCTCATTGTGTACCAGAAAATGCTAAATTGAAGCTCAAGCAGTAAATATGGTGGGAATACATCTTCAAGCTTTCCACATCTACAGTAGAATCAGTTGTTCTTTAGTAATTTTTTACTGAGATGAACCATTACATGAAAATGCCATATTTCTAAACACATATTACACACAGTATTTTAGGGTGCTTTCACACTAGCACTTTTCATGTCAAGACGAATTAGCCATATTTTAAATACCTCTCCTGAGCCGGCTGTTGGAGAACTTTCAGAAGACGGTAGGAAGCTTGATTAATGTTTGAAGGCACATCAGGAAGGCAACCGCTCTACCATTTAGACTAGATTATGTTTGAAAACTTGAGTATTTCTTTTTCTGAAATGGTTTTGATATTATTCACCACGTAAGTGCTCTCATTTGATGGTTTAGGCGATCTGAAGTAGATGGTTGACAAAAATGTTAATTCTGTCATTGTTTACTTACCCTTATATTGCTCCTAACTGTATGACTGACTTTTTTATGCGGAACACAAGACATGATATTTTGAAGAATGATGGCAACCAAACAGTTTTGGCTACCATTTTGTATGGGCAATAAAAACACTGAGACATTTCTCAAAACTTTTCTTTTCTTTTATGTTCCACAGAAGAAAGTAAGTCATAGAGGTTTGGAATGACATGAGAAGTAGTGCTAAATTTACACTGCAAAGGTGGCACAGAAGTTTTTCTGAAAAGTGCTTCTTTACACAGATAGTTTAATGCTGTCTTAAATGCAGTTACAACTGTATACTTTGATTCCTAGGTGCTGAGGTAGGTCTGAGCAGGCATTATTTAGTCTGGCTTTGATGCAGCATTGCATTCTTTTCACTGAATTTTGAGCAGGCACAGAGCAGCCTTAACTCAGCTGTGTAAAGGAGCCTGAGTAAATGATAATAGAATTTTCGTTTTTGGTTATCCCTTTATGTGCAGCCTCCACACTGATTTGTTTAAAATTTGGTTCAGTCATTGGGTAGGTTAAGCACTGACTTTGCCAGATATGTAGCTGCCATCCCATGTACTATAATAATACAACACAATGAGGCGTTCATGGGTTTAAGCCAGTCATAATGAGTCACGTATACATCAGTGAATGTGATATTACACTTACTTTTTGAGTAACATGACTATTTATCTTTCATCTTGTTGATTTTGATTACTAATGGTGATATGAAAGTTATTTAGCTTTCTTGTGTTTTCCCAGTGGAGATGTTTCTTGTAAGAAAGTGGTTTGAGTCTAATCTCATTGTGTACCAGAAAATGCTAAATTGAAGCTCAAGCAGTAAATATGGTGGGAATACATCTTCAAGCTTTCCACATCTACAGTAGAATCAGTTGTTTTTTTTACTGTTTTTACTGAGATGAACCATTACATGAAAATGCCATATTTCTAAACA